ACCGCCGGGTTCGACCACCACGTGGTGCGGGTCCCGCACACCCAGGCTGTGGTGCTGAACTCCAAGGACAAGGTAACGGAAGGGGGTGGGAGGGGACTGGGAGGCACCCTGCTCAGCGACGGGTTTTGCTCCTCGTCCACTTTGAGAAGGAAGCTGGGGGCGGGGGGGGGGGGGAGGTAGGCAGAGGTGGTCTGCTTCAGCCCCTCCAGTGAGACCTGGCCCTGATGTTGGGGCTTGAGCATCACATTTCGAAAGTCCCAGAGAGCCAGTTTGGCGTAGTGGTTAGGACTGCGGATTCTGATCTAGGAGAACCGGGTTTGATTCCCCACTTCTCCTCCGCATGCAGCTGCTGGTGTGACCTTGGGCCAGTCACAAGCTCTCTCAGAGCTGTTCTCTCAGGAGCAGTCCTCGAGAGAGCTCTCTCAGCCCCACCTACCTCACAGGGTGTCTGTCGTGGGGAGGGGAAGGGAAAGGGGTTTGTAAGCCGTTCTGAGACGCCGAGTGAAGCACCAGGGGTATAAATCCAATCTCTCCATCTCCTCTTTTAGATAAACTTGCTCAGCTTATTTGCGTGTTAAACCTGAAACCGGTTCCTGTTTTGATGGGGGGGAGGTCTTCCACTTTACCTAGCATTATTCTCTTTTCCAGTGACTCTTTTCTTCTCATAATGTGATCAAAGGACCACCATAGCAGTTTGGTCATTTTAGCTTCCAGGGGGAGTTTAGGCTTGATTTGGTCTAGAACCCACTTTATTTGTCTTTTCGGAGGTGCACGGTATCCGTAAAACTCTCCTCCGACACAGCATTTCAAATGATACACTGAAATAAACTGGGCTAATCTTGAAGATGCCACTTGAGAGCCAGTTTGGTGTAGTGGTGAAGTGCAGGCGGACTCTAATCTGGGAGAACCGGGTATGATTCCCCCACTCCTCCACATGCAGCTGCTGGTGTGACCTTGGGCCAGTCACAAGTTCTCTCAGAGCTGTTCTCTCAAGGGCAGCTCTCGGTGTCCTTTGTGGGGAGGGGAAGGGGAAGGAGATTGTAAGCCGCTCTGAGACTCCTTCAGGTAGTGAAGGGCGGGAAATAAATCCAATCTCTTCTCCTTCTCGATTTCTGTTCTGCTTCTTCAAAGAGCTTCTCCCTGATTCCAAGGGGGCAGCTACTTTGGTACCAGATTACTATTAAAGAGAGGGGGCCGTTAACAGCCACCAGAGTCCCAGTTCTTCAACCAGACTTCCCCTTCGCAGGCGCCGTACCTAATCTACGTGGAAGTACTTGAATGTGAAAACTTCGACACCACTAACGTTCCAGCCCGGATCCCGGAGAACCGCATCCGCAGCACGAGGTCGGTGGAGAACCTCCCGGAATGTGGGATCACGCACGAGCAGAGGGCCAGCAGCTTCACCACCGTTCCCAACTACGACAATGACGACGAGGCCTGGTCCGTAGATGACATCGGGGAGCTGCAGGTGGAGGTAACCCCACCCCCCCACCCCCCGGGGCCACAAGTGAGAGGAAACAGGGGGGGGCAGATTATAGTGGCCCATTCGGGAGCCTCAGACCTTGCCCGCGGCACAGGCTGTGCTGGCGTGACCATGGAACAAACTGGGGTGGGTCTGACGACGTACTGCGCTCACCCTGTGAGGAGGGCACATGTGTCAGTGCCCACTCTGGTTGCTGGGGATTCTCACGCGTCCCCCAGAGACCATGAAGAAGGGAACATCAATGCCCAGGCCGCCGTTCTCCATCACTTCTTCACCGTGTCTTTTCTTTGGCAGCTGATGGAGAGCCAGTTTGGTGTGGTGGTGAAGTGGGCGGACTCTAATCTGGGAGAATTTATTTATTTATTTATTTCACATTTATACCCCGCCCTCCCCAATAGGCTCAGGGTGGCCGAATGGGCCACTATAATCAGAACCGGGTTTGATTCCCCCACTCCTCCACTTGCAGCTGCTGGTGTGACTTTGGGTCAGTCACAAGTTCTCTCAGAGCTGTCCTTGAAAAAGAGCCGTTTCTGTCAAGAGCTCTCTCAGCCCCACCCACCTCACAGGGTATCTGTTGTGTAATTTGGGAGAACCGGGTTTGATTCCCCACTCCTCCACTTACACCTGCTGGTGTGACTTTGGGTCAGTCACAAGTTCTGTCAGAGCTGTCCTTGAAAAAGAGCCGTTTCTGTCAAGAGCTCTCTCAGCCCCACCTACCTCACAAGGTGTCTGTTGTGAGGAGGGGAAGAGAAAGGAGTTTGTAAGCCACTCTGAGACACTTTTGGGTAGTGAAGGGCGGGGTATAAATCCAATATCTTCTTCTTCTTCTCTAATCTGGGGAGACCGGGTTTGATTCCCCACTCCTCCACTTGCACCTGGCTGGATAACCTTGGGCAAGTTGTAGTTCTGATGAGAGCTGTCCTTGAAAAAGAGCTGTTTCTCTCAGAGCTCTCTGAGCTGTGCCTACAGTCCGACTGTCCACTGTGTGAGATGGGATGCTGGACTAGATGGCCCCTCACCGGTCTGACCCAGCAGGGCTCTTCTGGTGTCCTTCTCAGGGGAAGGCCTCGGCCTCTCTGCCCTATGGTTGGCCCTCCAGAGGAACTGACTGGCCACTGGGTGAGATGGGATGCTGGACTAGATGAACCCTCACTGGTCTGACCCAGCAGGGCTCTTCTGAGGTTCCTCTCAGGGGAAGGCCTTGGCCTCTCTGCCCTGTTCTTGGCCCTCCAGAGGAACTGGTTGAGGCCACTGTGTGGGACAGGAGGCTGGACTAGATGGACCCTCCCTGGTCTGACCCATCAGGGCTCTTCAGCCTTTCCTGGGGGCAGGGGTCGTTTGTAGAAGTCATTAGCATAACTCGTTTGCATAGGCCACGCCCCCTGGCATCACTGGAAGTGTGTCAGAAGGCAACACCCACCGCTCAGGCTCCACTGGACTCTTTTGGATTGCTAGCTATTGGGGGGGGGGAACATGCAGATCTGTCCTCGCACAGGAGGGAGAGCTTGTCCCTGAATAAGACTTGGTCTTAACGGTGCCACTGGACTCTTTTGGATTGCTAGCTATTGGGGGGGGGGGGGGTCGGGC